GGGTCGGACAGAACTTCGCAACCAACAACAACAACAACAACATGAAGTACAAATCCATCATTTAACCTTTAGCTTTAAATACCTCTGCTTTGTTTGAGTTTGCTTTCAATTTATCATTTATCAGACAAAATTACAGCTGCTCCTTGGCTTGGAGTAAAATGTGAAAAAGTTGTTACCAAAATATGGTTTACTTCTATGTATACATGAACTATAATTTTGTTGCCTTCAATTATTCATAATCAATCTCTAAGCTATTGTTTAGTTTGAAGTGCTTCAGCAACTGTATTTAAAAGTATTAGATCTGTGTCTGCATTATTAATTTGAAGTTTTTATAATGATTTATAACTTATTATAATTAAATCTTAATGACTTTGTTATATGATGTACATTGGCCGTTGCAATTTCTGAATTATTTTTTTAAAATGTTGGTCAATATATTATTTAATTGGAACAACAATAGATACACTATGGTGATTTATATATAATGAACAATCTTTTGTGTTAGTATAGTTCTTCTGGAATAATATGACCATTAAGACTATAGTTCTACCATATCAAATAGAAGAGTTTTGTAACTGATAAGTATGAAACTACAAACTTTATTCACTTATTCTAAGATTGCTAGTTTTGTTCTGAATTGTAAATAAATATCATTTCAAATTTGCAAACAAGCCAGTTATTATAATCCTATTTTGTGCTGTTTTCTATAGTTTTCCTTATTCTTTCTTCAATTCCTTTATTTACCTATTCTTCCTTTGTTTCTTCTCTGTTTTCCTTTCCTTTTGTTATCTCTTTCAGTTTTGGCTGTACTAATACTGTGGCTGACTTGGTGCTTTAAAGATTTCCCTTTTCTCAGTTTGCTTACTTGCCTATCAGACATTATGAGGAGATTGGCTTTTCGTGGTGCTGGTTGTACTCTGGTAAATCTGGTAATTTGCTGGTAATGTGTGTGCTGTTTGTCTCTCTTCCATACATCTCAGCCATTTTTGTTTTATATAGGCAGTCCTCGACTTATGACCATGATTGAGTCCAAATTTTCTGTTGTTAAGTGAGACATTTGTTAAGTAAATTTTCCCCCACTTTACGATCTTTCTTGCCTCAGTTGTTAAGTGAATCACTGCAGTTGGTAAATTAGTAACCCGGTTGTTAAGTAAATCTGGTTTCCCCATTCATTTTGCTTGTCAGGTCGCAAAAAGTGATCACATGACACAACAACATTCAGAAATATGAACCAGTTGCCAAGGATCTAAATTTTGATCACCTGACTATGGGGATGCTGGAAAGGTTATAACTGCGAAAAACAGTCATAAATCACTTTTTTCAGTGCCCATTGTAACTTAGAATGGTCACTAAACAAATTGTTGTAAGTGGAGGATTACCTGTATTTGATTTGTAAATGTCATGTTTTTCATG